TCTTGCTGACCATCACCTTCCTCTGCACACCCTCCCTATCTTCTTGCTGACCATCACCTTCCTCTGCACACCCTCCCTATCTTCTTGCTGACCATCACCTTCCTCTGCACACCCTCCCTATCTTCTTGCTGACCATCACCTTCCTCTGCACACCCTCGCTATCTTCTTGCTCACTCGGTAGTAAAACAAAATTATGTAGCCAAACAAAATTCAAAACATTAAAAAGTGTAAAGCCTTCTACTATTATGGCTAGTACAGAAACCACAGCAGCACCTTGTGGCAGGCATGCACTCTCCAGGGTGCAAAGACAAACAGACCACACTTGTGGTGTAGAACTATGAGAAAGGAAATTATATTTGATTCGATGATGATGTTAGCCATAGTACAGAGAGAGCAATGGAGAGATAGTGGAAGAAACTTGCAAAGTGGTAAAGCAAAATACAACAAAAAACAAGTATATTGTCATCAGTCATTATTCGCCATTACAATTACTGTGTTAGAGAACTGGATCTCTGGCCACTGCATCAAGCAAATACAAATTGCAGTCAAAAGGCTAAACCCAGTGACCAATCTCTCTAACCCCAAATCAATAATTAATATTGTAAACAGTGGATAATGGTAACGTAACGCTAAAATTAACTTTAACTTGAAATATCTTGACAAAAGCAACAACTTTGCATTGGGTAAGAGTCAAATAGCCTACAAATGTACCAATTATTTTAGTATGAAATAATGTTAGGGTTTATTTCACAGGAAAATTCAATATTTGCAATTTACTGTACAGTTTTTGAGAGGTTAGTGTGGGAAGAGATTGGCTAGCTGGCTAACTTTGCAGTCATCCTACACTAAAAAGGATTTTGCGGTTCACAAGAGCATCAAATCTAAAAACCTCCTGATGAATGTTTGCATGAAAAACATAAAATAAACTGAAGTTCGTCTGACAAGCTGGGCTTTCTGTGCGATGTGACAACAGGTGTAGTATTTTTGCTATTTTTACAAAAATCCTGTGTTATTGTCATGGCATATTACAGCCAGAGAACTGCTAGGTTCAGAATCAGAATCAGAATCAGAAAAACTTTATTTATCCCGGAGGAAATTCCTCAGCAATGAGGATCCGGTGATGGTCAGCACGGATCACCCTCAGGGAAACGCACCACATGGCCATAATGCCGTAACTGACGCTCCCTCACAATGCAGGTAATGTGCCTCGTTCGGGACTCCTCTAGCAACCGCTCGTCTAGCACCAGAACTCTAAAGACTTGAACCTTCATCCTCTTGCAAAGATATTGGGAGTGCCACATACCCCAGAAACCTCATGACCCCCCATGCTCTCCCAATCCGTCTGCTGACTTCATAGGAAGAGTCACCAGAGACCTGAATGTCACTGCTGAAGCCAGTGAACCACTCAGTGTGGTTGACATTCTCACTGCAGATAGACACACTGCTGATGGCCAAGAGGTCATTAAAGGCCTGGAACTTGGTTTTGATCCATGACACTTGCAAGCCCAGACACTCACACTCCTCACTCAGTCTCTCGAGAGCCCCAAACAGAGCCTCCGTTGACTCCGCGAAGATCACAGCATTGTCAGCAAAGTCAAAAGTAGTGAATCTTTCTTCACCAACAAATGCCCCACAGTCCCTAGACCCCACAACCCTGCCCAACACTCAGTCCATACAAGCATTGAACAGAGTAGGAGGAAGAACACACCCCTGACGAACCCCAGAATCAACTGAGAGGAGCGCAAAGGTACTGCCTCCACTCTGCACAGCACTCTGCCTCCACTCTGCACAGCACTCTGCCTCCACTCTGNCACTCTGCCTCCACTCTGAACAGCACTCTGCCTCCACTCTGCACAGCACTCTGCCTCCACTCTGCACAGCACAGTAAAAGTAAACAGGCCAGATCCCGCAAAGTCTCAGCATGTCCCACAGGGCATCTTGATCAACTGAATTGAACACTTTACAGGAATCAACAAAGGCTGTAAAGAAACTCTGCTGATATTCACACTTGCGTTCAATGAGAACCCTCAGTGCCAAGATGCGGTCGATGGTAGACCTCTTAGACATAAACCAGACTGCTCCAGTTGCTGGGAGAAGAGCAAGTAGTCATGGATCCTATTGAGGATGACCCTAACCTGCTGGTTAACATTCTAAGGCATAATTTTACAATTTTAAAGTTCTAAAATTATTTTGTTTCCGATCAGCTCAATTTTAAACTTGTCAAATTATTTAGTACCACTTCACAATAAGGCTTCCTTCATCAATAAAAAGAAAACTGTGTTATAACTTGTTTAAAATTGTCTAGTAATAATTCTCAAATAATAAAATGAAAAAATAATCAAATTAAAATAATGAATTGTTACAACCTAATTAATAACCAGATTATAAACCATTCATAAACCCTTCATATGGGGAGCCTTATTATGAAGTGGCAGCAGTTATTTTGTTTCTCACCAGCACTGCAGCTAAGCGTCCCAGTGGGAATTCTCCCGACTCTCCCGATTTTCCACTGCAGGCCTGCTTGTGGTGAATATTCCACCATCACCTGTGGAGGATTATTTCGCCATCATGATGAAGCAGGTTTTCACTCATTGATTTCCTCCAGGGGGCAGTATGATCCTTGAGATCAGGCATAATAAGAGAGACAGGAAGAGATAGAGAGAGAGAGAGAGAGAGAGAGAGAGAGAGGTGGGGAATACAAGCCAGTGCATGCAGAGGAGGTGAAAGAGGAGGGAGGGAGAGCAATACTAAGGATGTGACTGGGAGGTCCAGCAGGAAGACAGAGAGATCTTGTGGGAGACATTGAGAGAAGTTTGGAAACAGCAGGGAAACATCAAGGAGGCTCCTCTGACTGATTAGGTGACCTTCAGGCAAGCATGAGAAACCTTATAGTCGCCGTCTGCCTCCTTTCAGGTGAGTTCAGTCTGACTCCAGTATACTGAGCAGAGTATACAGAGTATATATTCACTAGATAATACTTCCTGTGTCAGTGTGGTTATAAGGCTTATATGTACATAGCATGTGAGGCAACTGATTCTCTCTCTTGTTTTTTGCATTTATGTGTCACAGCTGTATGCTGGATGGTGTCAGGTGTGATCAGAATGTCTGGATATGAAGGACATCAGGTCAGAATCAGATGTTCTCACAGTAATGCAGGAAGCAACAGGAAGTATTTCTGTAGGGGGCATTGTTCTTCTAAAGACATTCTCGTTAAGACTAATGGAGGTCAGACATACCAGCAAAGGGAGAGGTTCTCCCTGCATGATCATAGATCCGGAACCTTCACTGTAACCATCACTGGACTGAGGAAGACCGACACTGGGACATACTGGTGTGGAGTAGAGCGAGCAGGCGCTGACACCTACACAGAGGTGCACCTCACAGTGACAGAAGGTCTGCTTTATCATCCTCAGTAATCTCATCTGCTCTGTTATGAACTTGCCCAGCGATCCAGCATTTCTCCCCTAAATCTCAGATTGTCTCTTTCTCAATACAGCCTCCTCTAGAGCCTCCAGGGCCCCCCAGCTGCCGTCGCGTGTCCCTGCCACCTCTGCCAACCCCCAGGAGGAAGCAGACCCCCCCAGGACTTCCGGGCCTCTTCCCCAGCACTCCTCAGGTATGGCTGATCTCTTTCCACACTGACTGGACACCCCCGGGTGTTTCTGCGTTCCCATTCTCACTTCCAGTTTATTTGTACAATAAATAAGTAAATATAATCGAGAGGATTCTGCTGCAAGACAGTTATTACTTTAAATGCTTATTGTGGTGCTTTTCAGAAACAACTTATAACCGTCATTTTCAGTTTATCTGCCTTTACATTACATTATCAATTTAGTGGACATGCCATCAAAACAAGAGGCAAAAATACAAATAAGAGCGATAACACTGCACATTGCTCAAAGTTTGACAAATTGCAATGTGGTTGGCAGTCTGTTTGCATAGCTGTCAGTAAAGGAAATTACAATGAAATACATTTTAAATTAATATAAACCATATAATTTCAAATATTCTATTTATATGAACCCTCTGGAGTCTAGGGGTAGGGAACACACTTTCACTGACTGGGCCATGATCACACATTTCATTCAATATCAT